TGTAGTAGAATCACAGCTTGAAACCAAGAATGAGTGGAGAGCACTTGGAGAGCGTCTTAAGTTAGAAGCTTGCTTCCTTTTACTTCTGTTACACTTAAAGTTTTACATATTGACTTTTAATCATAGGATAATAAAAAAAAAGCATTGTGCTCATGGTTTTATATCTTATGAGTGATATTGTTTAAGTTGACCTCAAATAATGCATAATTCCCATTTCTCTACAAAGAGAAATGTCTATTTTACGTTTGTTTTTTGCCATTAAGATTCATTGAGTTGTTTTTAGTTTTTATTGTAGGGAACCAGGCCTTAAGGGGCCTTCCTGTAGGCTTTTTTTTTTAATGTTTTTTATTATAAAAATAGTGTACAGGGGCTGGGAAGGTGGCTCAGTGGTAGGGCGCTTGCCTTGCATGCATGAGGCCCTGGGTTCGATTCCTCAGCACCACATAAGCAAAAAGAAAAAAGCCGGAAGTGGCGCTGTGGCTCAAGTGGTAGAGCGCTAGCCTTGAGCTGAAGAGCTGAGGGACAGCGCCTAGGCCCAGAGTTCAGCCTCCACAACTGGACCCAAAAAAAAAAAAATAGTATACAGAGCCAGGCGCTGGTGGCTCACGCCTGTAATCCTAGCTATCAAGAGGCTGAGATCTGAGGATCGCGGTTCAAAGCCAGCCCAGGCAGCAAAGGCTGTGAGACTCTTGTCTCCAATAAAGCCACTAGAAAACGGGAAGTGACGTGGTGGCTCAAGCAGTAGAGTGCTCACCTTGAGCTGAAGAGCACAGGGACAGCACCCAAGCCCAGAGATCAAGCCTCATGACCGGCAAAAAAAAAAAAAATAGTGTACAGAGCACGTGTAAGCTTTTGTAGTTGGGTTTGCTAACAAACTGGCTTAGGGAAGTATGAAAATTGTTCTGGTCTTGATCGCTGAGAGAATATTTTTCAACATCTCTTCCATTTCTAATACATAGTGAAATCCCTATTATAAAAATATTTACATGCATACTTTATATAAATAGATCTTTTCTTTTAAAGGATCTATTCATCAAGGATAAGGAAGTATTTGTCATAAGAAGAGAAGGACCTGAATTCCCTGTCTTTGTCTGGAGATTGCATTTGAACTTGTGAGCAGTTGTTAGGTTCTCTATCGGAATTAAAGCTGAAATAAATTTGCCTGACTCCTCCTATAGAATATGTCGTTTGCTTGTAGCCTGAGGAAAAGGTGGAGGTACTGGTCTGACTGTAAGTATGGCAATTTGAATGCACTGCATTTAGGTCTGGTAATTTGAATGTTAAGATCCTCAGAATCCCATAGTGACACTTGGTTTAAGTTGTGGACCACAGAGGACATCTTACTGAGTGTAGTGTGGAGGAAAATCATTTAGGATAAAAGAAAATCCATACAAAGCTGTGAACTGCTATTAGATAATTAGCAGACCTAAAAAAGATGGGAGAATTCATACCCAAGGAAATAGAACTAACGAGAGAAAAGATTTAATAGGCTACATGTTTTAAAAATAGAAATAAAGAGATTTAATATGTTTGTTAGGGTCTTAATTTGAAATGTTTCCTGAAGGCTCATTTGTTAAAGGCTTGGCTGTCAACTGAAGGATTTGTTGGGAAGTGTTTGAAGCCTGTGGGCTGTGACTAGTCTGGGTTAATACACTGATGGATTCATTATTGGGAAGCAATGGTTATTAAGAAGTGGGGTCTAGTTGGAGGAAGTTAAGTTATAAGGAGGGGAAAATATGTCCTGGGCCCCATCTTTTCTCTTTTCCTCCCATCATGAAATGAGCTACTTTGTTCCACCACATGCTCTCTGCCATTTTATTCTGTCTTAACCACCCATGGACCTAATAGAAGTGGAGCCAAATGAGCAAGGACTGGTACTCTACTTGATCTTAGCCAAAAGCATGAGAAGAATCAAGACCTAAACTTCTGAAACTGTGAAGTGGAAAAAAAAAATAACTCCTTCCTTTCAGTTGTTTATGTCAGGGATTTTGACATTGCCATAGAAATCACATAAACAATGTTTGTTTTTGATGTTCAAAAGCTAAAACAAGGAAATAGTAACTTTGAAAGAACCCCAGATTATTAACATAAAAATTTGGCCCAGTGAAAAAAATTAAAATTTGGGAATCTTGATGATGAAAACTGTGATAATTGGAGTTTCAGTGTTAGAAGCTAGGAGGACAACATAAGTTTGATAAAAATTCTAGAAGGTATTAAAAGATATGAAGTAGGGAATGTTGAGAAATTTCCATACTTGAACTACATGAGCTTGAAGACACATAGGAAGTGCAAAATAAATCCTAATTACAGAAAAAAAGGATGAAGAAGACATTAGAGACTATGGAGAGGTTACCAATGAAGAATGGTAATCCAGTGAGTATCCTTCTCAGTAAATAGATATGCAAATCAAAGTGCTAAGAGAAAGCTGTGGTTGAAGCAGAATTCTCCAGGAAAAAAAAAATGCAGTTCCAGAGCAAAGCTGAAATAAAGACAATTTTGGGGGGGGTGGGAAGGTGCTTCAGTGGTAGAGTGCTTGCCTTGCATGCCTGAGGCCCTGGGTTCTATTCCTCAGCACCACATAAGCAAAAAGAAAAAAGCCGGAAGTGGCGCTGTGGCTCAAGTGGTAGAGCACTAGCCTTGGGCTAAAGAGCTGAGGGACAGCGCCTAGGCCCAGAGTTCAAGCCCCACGACCGGACCCTCCCCAAAAAAAATTTAAAAAAAGACAATTTTGGGTGCACATGTGTATCAAGAGTACCTTTCGATGGGAATAACAGAATATCCAACTAACAGTGACTAACTTGTAAAGGCATTTAATGACCAAATGATCCATTTCAGGGTAAGGGAGTCCAGAAGTAGGTGATGAACTCAGTAGTGGTTGGGTTTGGGCAGTTCTCATAGTCTCAAGCATCATCCTTCACCTGACAGTAGCCAATACAAGGAAGGAAGGGGCAGGGGAAAATGGTCCTTGTCTCAATCTGGGAAGAAAATCTTTCCCGAAACCTGTCAGCAGATGTCCAGTCAAATATCACTGGTTAGTTAGAACTAGGTCAAATGCTTGCTAGTTCAGGCTGTGGCAGAGAGAAATAGCAGGCTGGCACTGGCGTTTAGTGTACCATGATTTATACCCTGGGACCAAGAGATTGGCCATCTCAACTAACTCAGAGTTACTTTAGCAAAGAAGAAAAGGCAAGTGGTTAGGTCTTCACATATGCCTTTCTATGGTAAAAATGTATTTGATATTGAATTTAAACATCGTTATTACTAGTTTGTGAAATAGGGGATTCCGGTGGAATTTATGTGCTCTGCATAGTTCTGTTTTTCATTGTTTTATTTTTTTGGTGTCAGTCCTTAGGCTTTAACTCAGGGCCTTAGTGCTGCTCCTAAGTTTATTATTTTTTGTTCAAAGCTAGCATTCGGTCACTTAAGCCATACCTCCATTTCCAGCTTTGTGGTGGTTAATTGGAGATTAGAGTCTCATGGACTCTCCTGACCAGGCTGCTTTGAACTGTCATCCTCAGATCTCAGCCTCCTGAGTAGCTAGGAATACAGGTTTGAACCACTGTTGAAGGATAAATCTCAAGTATCTGGAGTGTTCTCCTAGTTTGACATGTTAGTTGGTATGGTATGTATTAGGTTGTATGCAGAAGCAGGTATGTCTGGGAAATGAAAGACAATTTAGTCATTATTTCACTGAGACCCACCCAGGATTCTAATGAAAAGCCTGTGTAAGATTATAATAATGTCTCATTTGAGCTTTTTAACTGTCTTTTTTTTTTTTTTTTTGGTTGGTCGTGGGGCTTGAACTCTGGGCCTGCGAACTGACCTTAAGCTCTTCAGCTCAAGGCTAGTGCTCTGCCCTTGAGCCACAGCACCACTTCCAGTTTTCTGGTGGTTAATTGGACTAAGAGTCTCATGTCCTGCCCCGGCTGGCTTTGAACAACAATCCTCAGATCTCAGCCTCCTGAGTAGCTAGGATTACAAGCATGAGCCACCAGTGACTGGCTTGTAACTGTCTTATAATTGTACTTTTGTCATTTTACAGATGAAAAAATTGAGGTACAAAAAAAGTAAATATCATTTAAAAATAATAGCTAATATGTCCTGATGGTAGGACTTAATTCTAGGTCTTTTTTTTTTTTTTCCTTTTTTTTTTTTTTTTTTTCCGGTTGTGGGGCCTGAACTCTGGGCCTGGGCCCTGTTCCTCAGCTCTTCAGCTCAGGGCTAGCACTCTACCACTTGAGCCACAGCGCCACTTCCAGCTTTTTTCTTTTTGCTTATGTGGTGCTGAGGAATCGAACCCAGGGCCTCAGGCATGCAAGGCAAGCGCTCTACCACTGAGCTACCTTCCCAGCCCTTAATTCTAGGTCTTTATATATTAAATCTAAGTTTCTTGTAGCTCCCAAATTAAATAACTGTAGAAACTTAATTTGTTTTGATGTCAGGTTTTTAGGAAAGATGGAATAAAAGGCAAAATGTTTATATATGTACTGTTCATCTGATAATGGCACTACAGAGGCTTAGATCTGATCTGAGTTTTCCATAATGTTTAATCATTATAAGAGGAACAAGGAGAGATAAACCATGGGATACTTGAGTGAATATAAGAAAACAAACTTCCATATTGTATTCTAAGTGTGGAGAGGAAACAAGTGTTGTATTCATTTCCCTGGGTTCAAATATTGAACCACTTGTTAATTACTTATGTGACCTTAGGCAGATCATGTAACCTGTCTGAACTTTTTTTACATTTACTTGTCAAATAGAAATGATTACTGTTTGCTTTATTTCCATAGGCATAAACTCAGATAATGTACAGTTTCTAGCAGATATTAAGGATCCAGTAAAATTATAGTTATTTCACAATATTCATATATAAGTTACAAATATATATGTATATATATATAGATATAGATATATTAGAACTGTGAGTTACTTGCATTATACCATTTATTTCTTGGTTTGCTTTGCTTTTGTGAATGTTCTCATTCCCTCAATTGTAGGTCCTATGGCAGTGTATACAAAGCTATTCATAAAGAGACGGGTCAGATTGTTGCTATTAAACAAGTTCCAGTGGAATCAGACCTGCAGGAGATAATCAAAGAAATCTCTATCATGCAACAATGTGACAGGTAAAGAGTTGGGAGGGTTCCTTGGGAGAGAATGTGGTTTTGACTTTCTGTGATTATTTAGAGTTGGACACCTAGAGATTTATTTACTTAGATATTTTGCAGAAAGGGGAGATTGATGGAATTATTATGCATATTCTTTTCAGAAAAAATAAGAGGAAATGTTTAAATGTTTTGAAGCTTGGCTTTTATAGGCTTACTTTTTTATTTGTCAGTAAGCCCTTTTAGAAACTAGGAGGAAGAGACAGGTGTGGCTTTTTTTTTTTTTTTTTTTGATAATGATCTCTTACTTCCTATTGAGAAACCTTTTCTGCAGATAGAGCTAAGACAGAAAATTCAACTGCTTTTTGATCTAGAAATCTTCAAATATTAAGTTGGGCTATGAAATGATATTTACTTAGGCGTTACTATTCCTTCCTTTGCCTTAAAAATTAAGTATTCAAGCTGAGAGTAGTTAAGCATTTTATTTTTGAGGAACTAGGTTTGTCAAATGCAGAAAGCAGGAAGTTGACCTAAAAGTTAACCACAGAAAAGCACGTGGTATGTGCTGAAATTCCGTGACAGCAGGGGTTGGTCACTGTGATGGAACAGACTTTTAGCACTCTATAGATTTGAAAGAAAAAGTTAAGGGGAATGCCAGTGCTAGGGAGTTAGAAGTGTAGTTCAAAAAGTTTCACACTTGAGGCTCCATACTTTATTTCTATTTATTTATTTAGGGGTGCTAGTGTTTTAACTCAGTACTTCATGCTTGTTAGGCAAGCCCTCTACTCATTGAGCCATCCCTCTGTCCCTGTTTTTCCCTGGTTATTTTTAAGTTAGAGTCTTATTTTTTGCCTGGAGCCATCTTTCGTATTTGTGCTTCCTACAGTATCTGAGATGACCAGCATGTGCCAATACACCTAGCCTTTTTTTTCTGTTGAGCTCTGGTGATTCATAAACTTTGCCTTGACTAGCCTTAAACCATGACCTTCCTGATCTCTTGTCTCCTGAGTAGTTTAGGATTATAGGTGTGAGCCTGTAGGTAGAACAAGTAAGGCAGTCTTCCAGGAAATTTGTCCAGAAGTACTCTCTTTTCTCTTTTTTCTGTTTTTGTGATTACTGTTTACTAAATAAAATTCTCACTTTTCTTGATTGAATTGATCAGATTTAAGTTAGCAATTTTTCTTTTCCTTCTTTATATAAACCATTATGGTTTATAAACTTGGACTTGGTTCATAGGGTATGGAAATTAATGAAGGATATTAGGAAATTAATAAAGAGATATTTTGAAGATCCTGCTAAGAACTGTAGGACAAATGCCTTGTGTTCTGGAAGTTTATAGATGAATTAGGCAGACCAGGATTCATATGTATAGGGAATCTAGATGACAGTACTAGTCCAGATAGAAATGTACATTGCCTCATGGAGAAAGTAGGTCCCAGTTGACAAGGGAGCACAATGGGCTTCTGAAACTTGAGATTTAGTTACCCATTTCTTAATATTCTGTGTGTGTGTGTTTTCTCTATCCTTGCAAGGATTAAGGGATATAGGAAATTCTGAGAGTTAATAAAGGCAAGTTGGCTTTAGCATCTTTGGTTGCTAGGGAGTTTCATCTGATCCTGGTAGCAGTCTACCTACCTCATTACAGCCAGTAGCTTGCAAGAGGACAGATTATTTAATTTACTGGGATGTATGACTTCTCTCTGAAATCTTTTGCTTGATATCTATCTACAAGCTTCGAAACTAAAAAACTAAAATTCCAACTTAACTTTTTTTTTGGCTGGTCTATGGCTTGAACTCAGGGCCTGGGCACAGTCCCTGAGCTTCTTTGTGCTCAAGGCTAGTGTTCTACCACTTGAATCACAGAGACACTTCTGGCTTTTTCTGAGTAGTTTATTGGAGATAAGAGTCTCGTGGACTTTCCTGCCTAGGCTGGCTTTGAACTGCAATCCTCAGATCTCACCCTCCTGAGTAGCTAGGATTACAGGTGTGAGCCACCAGAACCTGGACAAATTAATCTTGAATATGTTTTTTTTGTAATAGATACTTTCTATTACTACAAAATATGTATGACTTTTTTGAAAAGAAGGAAATAACTTTTCCCTGTAGAGAAACCATTGTTAAAAACTTATTGCTATGCATATCTGTCCAAGTCTCTTTTATAAAAAAAAGAACATCTTCTTATTACCAAATATTCCCCTATGACATTTTTCATGGATTCATAATGTTTATTATATGGATATATGTATTCCTTAAGTAAACCCTCTAATGTTGGATGGACACTTAAATGGTACCTAAATTTTCACTTTCATTGACTTTTATGTTGATGTCCATTTCATTTCTGCTTTTGTATTGGCAGTACTGAGGCTTGAACTCAGGGTTTTGTGCTTGCTAGATAGGTGCTTTTCTGCGTTGGCCATGTTTCCAGCAGTACTGAGGCTTGAACTCAGGGTTTTGTGCTTGCTAGGTAGGTGCTTTTCTGCATTGGCCATGTTTCCAGCCCTTTTTGTTTTAATTAATTTTTGGAATATTTGGATTGTAAGCCTCTTATTTATGCTTCCTCTATAGTTGGGATGACAGGTCCATGCCACCACACCAGGCTTGGGACCTATTACTTTTTGAATATTTATAATTATTTTCTGAGGGCAAATTGTAAATCTGGAACTAGTTAATGTATTCACCCATTTTTCGCACTTTCTAGTACTCTTTGGTCATCACATTTTATGTTTTTGTCAGAAGAGCACTCATTTTAGCATTAACTGGGAATAATTGATTTTTTGAGATGAGTAATAAATTTTCATGTATTTAACAGAATTAGTTACTAGAGATGTTTGAAGACCATTCCATTAATTTGTATTGTGTATCTCTCCAGCCCTCATGTAGTCAAATATTATGGCAGTTATTTTAAGAACACGGATTTGTGGATCGTTATGGAGTACTGTGGGGCTGGTTCTGTATCTGACATCATTCGATTACGAAATAAGACGGTAAGTTTACCTTCTAAAAGATTGCTGCTGAGCTGTATTCTTTTCCTTGGACTTTGAGTCCTGTGCTTGTTCTTTCATCATACCTACAGAGATGACTTACATGTCCCCTTTTCTATGGTTCTTTGCAGTTATTTATTTTTTATCTCCTAAATGTAGCAGAAGCAGTAGCAGAAGCTGCTGCTGCTCCTTCTCCTTCTCCTCCTCCTTCTCCTTTTCCTCCTATTCCTCTTCTTCTTCAGTTTTGACATCTTACCTGATTAAAAAAAAAAAAAAACAAACCTGATTTTTTTTTTTCTCCCCCAAAGTATGCTTTGCTACTTTATTATGGAGGGAAAGAATAAATGTCAGAATTGGCCTGGGCAGTGTCCCTTAGCTTTTTGCTCAGGGCTGGTACTCTGCTACTTAAACTGCACCTCTGCTTCCAGCTTTTTGTTGGTTAATTGGACTTTCCTGTCTGGGTTAGCTCTGAGCTGTGATCCTTAGATTTTTGCCTCCTGAATAGTTAGGATTACAGGCATGAACCACCAGTACCCAGCTGAGCTAAGACTTTGAAAGGTACATGTTAGTTGGAGAATATTGAGAAACTGATATTGAGAGAGGCTCAATAACTTATTCTTAAGAATTGTTCCCTAAGAATAAAGGCTGGGTCTTTCTCTAAGTTCCACACGTTTCTTTTCACCACAGCTCTTTTGCTTCTAAGTGTCAACAAAAGAGCTATTCGTGGATGGATTTTGTGTGGAACTTGGGGTAGCTCTGCACAGAGTCAACATTTGGTGTCAGGTGGTTTCTATGCCAGTCTCCAGTATTTTCAACTACATGTAGCCATCATCTTTCAGCATCCAGTATGTGCCAACTAGCTTTCTTGGTGTTGAAGGTACAAATAGAAACAAAAAACATTTATTTGTTTATTTATTTATTTTTGTTGGTTGTGGGGCCTGAACTCTGGACCTGGGCGCTGTCCTTCAGCTCTTTAGCTCAAGACTAGCACTCTACCACTGGAGCCACAGCACCACTTCCGGCTTTTTCTGCTTATGTGGTGCTAAGGAATCGAACCCAGGGCCTCATGTATGCAAGGCAAGCACTCTACCATTGAGCCACTTTCCCAGCCCTCAAAAGAGACATTTTTAATGGTGCTTGTATTTCTTTTTTTTTTTTTTTTTTGGGTCCAGTCATGGGGCCTGAACTCTGGGCCTGGGTGCTGTCCCTCAGCTCTTCAGCTCAAGGCTAGCACGCTACCACTTGAGCCATAGCACCACTTCCGGCTTTTTTTTTCTGCTTATGTGGTGCTGAGGAATCGAACCCAGGGCCTCATGCATGCAAGGCAAGTGCTCTACCACTGAGCCACCTTCCCAGCCCCTGGTGCTTGTATTTCTAGTAGGAAAGACATGGTACAAATAGGTACTCCAGTAATTCATGGTATGTCTGATATACTGCACTAAAAAACAAGGCGAGGCGAGGAAGTAGAGAATGATTTAAGAGTGGACTAAGAAAGGCCTCGGCTTTTCTTTTTTTTTCTTTTTTTCTTTTTTGGTCATGGGACTTGAACTCTGGGCCTGAGTGCTGTCCCTCAGCTCTTCAGCTCAAGGCGAGCGCTCTACCACTTGAGTTACAGCGTCACTTCTGTTTTCTAGTGGTTTATTGGAGATAGGAATCTCACGGTCTTTCCTGCCTGGGCTGGCTTTGAATTGCTATCCTTAGATCTCAGCCTTCTGAGTAGCTAGTATTACAGGCGTGAGCCACTGGCGCCCTGCTCCGGCCTCTGCTTTTCTGATGACATGACATTTGGGCAAAGTAAGTGATGTAAGAAAGCAAATGGTATAGACATTGGATGAAGGGTCCTATAGTCAGAGAATAACACATAAAGGGGTCCAGGAGAAGGGTGTGTGTGTGTTCTTCCATTTGTCAAGTAGCAGCAAGGAAGCCAATCTGGCTGGAATGGAACAAGAAAGTAGAAAATCCTGGAAGATAAACTTGGAGAGGCAGCTGATAAGGAGCTAAATAGTGTCATGTGACTTAAAAAGCTGTTGGCAGGTTTTGAACAGTTTTTGGCTTATATTTTAAAATGAAAAATGCATTATAGAGGGCTAAGGACAGAGGCAATAAGACCAGTTCAGAAGCTATTAGAATAGTGCAGGCAGGATATTATGGCAACCTGAATGTAATTACAGAAGATAGAGAAGAGTGAAGGATGACCTCAATGTTTTCGGCTAAAGCAACTGAAAGAATGAAGTCAATTTTTACTGAGAGAACACTGAGAAAAGCAGAGTAGTTTTGGTGGGAAGGAGGAAGGGATGGGGTGGGCTAGTACTGAAGATTGAAAGTGGAGCCTCATGCTCACTAGAAAAGCCCCAACCCCAAAATAAAGAATTGGATTTTGACCTTTTCTGCTTGTAATGCTTCTGAAGTATTATTCAGCTAGGGATATTGTCAGCATATACATGAATTTCATATTTTGGGGTAGATATAGTCAAGAAATACCACAAGGAGTGCTTACCATGTTGAAGGAACTCTAAGCAGTCAGAATAGGATGTTTGCAGTCAAGAAAAGAGTTTTTCTGTTGAGTGATGTAAACAGAATCTGAACTATTTTTTTTTTTTTTTTTTTTAGTTAACAGAAGATGAAATTTCTACAATATTACAGTCAACTCTTAAGGGCCTGGAGTACCTTCATTTTATGAGAAAAATACACCGAGATATCAAAGCAGGAAATATTTTGCTAAATACAGAAGGACATGCAAAACTTGCAGATTTTGGAGTAGCAGGCCAGCTTACAGTAAGAAAAATTTGTTGATTTTTTTTTTTTTTTAACTTCCAGATCTGCCCTGAGGAGGCAATTAAAAAAAATACCTTTTTTTAAAATGTATTATTTAATTGGGCTAGTATTGTTGTACTAGTTTATATTACAGAGATCTTGTATTTCAGTTCCTGATGTTTAGTGCTATTATCAGTACTATTTACTGGTTACAAAAAATAACAATCTTATTTAGTTTGTTTTAATGGTTAATTGAGAATCATCTTATGTTTCTTGGTATTTAAATTTCTTCTGTATTGCCTTTAGTAATGTTTTTATATATATTTGTAGTTTATGATATTTTTTATATAAAAGTCTCTTTTGAAGCTGGTGGCTCATGCTTGTAATCCTAGCCACTTGGAAACCGAGATTTGAGAATCATGGCTTAAAGCCAGCCATGCAGGAAAGTCCATGAGACTTTAATCTCTAATTAACAACCTAAATTTACGAGACTGTTATCTCCAATTGACTGCCCAAAAAACGGAAGTGGAGCTGTGACTTAAAGTGGTAGAGTACTAGCCTTGAGCAAAAGAGCTCAGGGACAACGCTTAGGTCTGAAGACCCATGAACAACAACAACAAAAAAAGTCTCTTTTGCTTAGTAGTTTTAATGACTAGATTTGGTCTCTCCCCTTTCTACTCTAGGATACAATGGCCAAGCGGAATACCGTGATAGGAACACCATTTTGGATGGCCCCTGAAGTGATTCAGGAAATTGGGTACAACTGTGTGGCAGACATCTGGTCTCTGGGAATAACTGCCATAGAAATGGCTGAAGGAAAGCCCCCATATGCCGATATCCATCCAATGAGGGTAAGGGCATGGTAGTTATCAGTACTACAAAGTTAGTGCAGTGATATACTTGGTTACATTCCAAATAGTAAATGAACTGATTGTATATAATTGATGTGTTCCCATAGATAAAGCTCTTCCATTATTAATTAATGTGAGTATAACCCACCTCTCTTCACTCCAGGGACTGTCCTTTTTTTTTTCTTTAATTTATAAATTTATAGCTGGTTGCTGATGGCTCACATCTGTAATCCTACCTACATAGGAGGCTGAGATCTAAGGATCTCAGTTCAAAGCCAGCTCGGGCAGGAAAGTCCATGAGACTTATCTCCAATAAACCACTAGAAAACCGGAAGTGGCGCTGTGGCTTAAGTAGTAGAGCGCTCGCCTTGAGCTGAAGAGCACAGGGACAGTGCCTAAGCCCAGAGTTCAAGCCCCACAACCGACCAAAAGAAAACAAAAAAAACAAGAACCACAGTTTGAAGCCAGGCTGGCACTACTGAAAAAGCCAGCAATGGCGCTGTGGCTCAAGTGGTCGAGTGCTAGCCTTGAGCTGAAGAGCTTAGGGAGAGTGTTTAGGCCCTGAGTTTAAGCCCCAAGACTGACACACACACACTTGCACAAGCACGCACACACGTGTGCACACGTGTGTGAATAGTTTATTTCCCTCAGTTCAACAGATCAATAAGTCCAAGGTCAAGGAACCAGCAGATAAGTGTCTGGTGAGGGACTGTTCCTCTATAAGTCAAAGTCAAACTGTGTAGGCCCTCACATAGCTGATGGGTAGAGGAGAGCAGTTCTTTTTTTTTTTGGGTCCAGTCGTGGGGCCTGAACTCTGGGCCTGGGCGCTGTCCCTTAGTTCTTCAGGTCAAGGCTAGTGCTCTACCACTTGAGCCACAGTGCCACTTCCGGCTTTTTTCTTTTTGCTTATGTGGTGCTGAGGAATCCAACCCAGGGCCTCAGGCATGCAAGGCAAGCGCTCTACCACTGAGCTACCTTCCCAGCCCCGAGAGCAGTTCTTTTACATGGACTTCTGAACTCCCATGTACAAAGGCTGGGCTCTTGTGTTTTAATTATCTGAAGTTCCCACCCTTAATTACTGTCATGTTTTGGGACATTCAGGTCATAACTGTGACCTGAACCTAGTGTCTAGATCACCAGAACCTAATGTCTAGTGTTTTTATTAGTGTTGTATAGGTATATGTGACCAGCTGACAATAGATCATATCTTAATAATCTCCTGGCAGGACATAGGCTAGAGAAGCTCTTAGTCTGACTTTTTTTATATGTGCCTATATTTTTTAAAAATAGTTTTGTCATCCACATTTTAATATAACATTAGCCAGTGATAAATACTGATTGTCTTCTTTATAGCATCTTCCCATCTGTTTCACTGTGTGTGGGCTCATAGGCAGCATCTCTTTTGAAACTGCTCTCACTGTTGACACCTTCAGGAGTTCCCAGACTACTTAGCAAAGAACCCTTTATTACAGCACTGCTGTAAGACCCTGACCTTGCCTTCCTCTCTATACCTCCCATAGAAATCTCTTCTCCCATAAAGTCTTGAATTTTTTTTTTTTTGGTCGGTCATGGGGCTTGAACTCTGGGCCTGGGCACTGTCCCTCAGTTCTTCAGCTCAAGGCTAATGCTCTACCACTTGAGCCACAGAGCCACTTTTGGTTTTGAGTGGTTTATTAGAGATAAGAGTCTTACAGGCTTTCCTGCCCCAACTGGCTTTGAACCACGATCCTCAGATCTCAGCCTCCTGAGTAGTTAGGATTACAGGCCTGAGCCACCGGCACCCTGCTCCTTGAATTGTTTACAAAACATTCATGTACCCCAAGACAATCTCCCCTCTTTTTTGCAGGAGCAGAGGTGAGAAAGAATTGCTGGTTATATTTTTAGATTCATACGTTAAAATTTGTTTAATGCAAAGTATTTTTGTGAGTGAGAGAAAGAGCTAGAGAGAGAGCAACAAAGACAGACAGAGTGAGAGAGACAGAGACAGAGAGTGAGAGAACGCACTAGCTGGTCCTGGGGGGCTTAAACTCAGGGCCTGGGTGCTGCCCAGGCTAGTACTCTGCCACTTCTGGCATTTTTGGTGGTTAATTGGAGACAAGAGAGGAGCCTCATGGACTTTTCTGTGTGGGCTGGCTTCGAACCATGATCCTCAGATCTCAGCCTCCTCAGTAGCTAGGATTACAAGCATGAGCCATAGGTGCCTAACTCTCAGACTTACCAGTGGAGAAGAGAAAAATCATTTAAAAAGCTTCAGATATAATTCTCATCCTGTTTGTATTGGGCATTACTTTTATTTTTACCAAATCTTGTTTTGTTTCTTTTGACCAGGCAATCTTCATGATTCCTACAAACCCTCCTCCCACATTCCGCAAGCCAGAACTATGGTCAGATAACTTCATGGATTTTGTGAAGCAGTGTCTTGTAAAAAGCCCTGAGCAGAGAGCCACAGCCACTCAGCTCCTACAGGTATGAGTCACCCTGTGAGGCTGCTTCTCTATTTCATTCACAGACTGACCAGAAGATGCTGTTAAGTCACCTGCTTGTAGTAAAGCTATTTGAGCAGGAAAGGCATAGAAAATAATCTTAACTCATTGAACAGAATTAATATAAGAAAATATAGGGCCACATGAGATTAGAGAATTAGAGATTAGAGAAAGGAAATGCACATTGATGAGTACTTAGTGTGTGCCAAATGCTCTACACATTTAATCATCATTTGACCCTATGAGAGGTGGCTGTCATGTCCATTTTATAGGTGAGAACTGGTTAGGTTATTCCTCTTAAGAGTTGTTCAGGGCTGGGAAGGTGGCTCAGTGATAGAGCGCTTGCCTTGCATGCATGAGGCCCTGGGTTCGATTCCTCAGCTAAGCAAAAAGAAAAAAGCCAGAAGTGGCGCTTTGGCTCAAGTGGCAGTTCTGAGAGAGAATTAACATCAGCTCAGGGTAGGAGGAGGCTACATTGGTTTGGAGACACTAGAAGTGTTTCTTTGGAGGAGGAGGGTGTGTCTGTGTCTAGGCCTGGAAGGGTAGATAGGATTTGGCAGATGGTCTGTGTAGCCCAGTGGCTAGAGGCTTGGATTCAAAGGTCATACTACCGTGGTTTGAATTCAGGATCCATGTTAGTTACTAAGTTCACAGTCTGTCAGCACCCAGTTAACGTAGAAACTGTTTTTGCATTAAAATACATGATTGGAAATTTATAATGCATCGTATTGAGTAAGTGAGATAGGTAAATATGCAGAGTTTTGTAAACAATGTTTTTATTTCATTAAAGAGCCCCTCTCCTAAGTTACCTCCCAAATCACTAGACTCTGCATTTCTCTTGAAAAAAACCGAGTATTATTTATTACAGTGTAAGAGGTAGTCTGAGATAGTTGAAAAATGTGCAGAATTTTCAGGACTGTTTGATATTTTGCAGGATTGCTAGTGTCTCCACCTCTCATCATCTGCCATATGTGTTCTTGAAACATTACGACAACAGGCTCCTAGAGCATTTAGAAAACTTCCTATAGGAAGTGATACCACTGCTTTGAGAATTTTAGATTAGATGGAGAGAAATGATATAGGCATGCCTTCGAGGACACAGATAAAAATGAGCGAAGCCTGAATGTACATCTGTCTAGAGTGATAGTGAGTGTGGTTTAGCTGTTGCCAAAAATATGAAGAGAAAGTTTATTAATTCAGAGTTTATTAAGTATCTAGTATGTCTCCTGCACTATGTTAAGTTATAAATTGTTTCCAGCATTTTTTTCTTTACTGTTTTAGCACCCATTTGTAAAGAGTGCCAAAGGAGTGTCGATATTACGAGACTTAATTAATGAAGCCATGGATGTGAAACTGAAACGCCAGGAAGCCCAGCAGCGGGAAGTGGACCAGGATGATGAAGAAAACTCAGTGAGTGGCAGGCAGGGTTGTGGGGCTCAGTCTATGAATGCTTGTTATCTCATGATTGTCAAGACTGTAAGATGAATAGATGATTGTGGATTAGCTTGCAACTGGAGATTCTTCTTGAAGGACTGTGCCCTAACCTACACCCAGGCTCATAGAAACTTGCTAAACTTGTTTCCCCAGTGCTTCCTAAAACACATTTTACTCTTGCCACCATATCTTTTATTGAAATAATAATAGTAATAATTATAATAATATTATTATTATCTTGCCAGTCCTGGGGCTTGAACTCAGGGCCTGGGCACTGTCCCTGAGCTTTTTGCTCAAGGCAATCATTCTACCACTTGTGCCACAGCACCACTTCCCGCTTTTTCTGCTTATATGGTCTTGAGGGATTGAACCCAGGGCTTCATGCATGTTAGGCAAGCACTCTACCATGGAGCCACATTCCTACCCCATAACTTTTCTTTGTTGGTCATAGGGCTTGAACTCTGGGCCTGGGTGTTGTCCTGAGCTCTTCAGCTCAAGGCAGTGCTCTTCTACTTAAGCCACAGTGCCACTTCCAGTTTTCTGGTGGTTAATTGGAGATAAGAGTCTCATGGCCTTTCCTGCCTGGGTAGGCTTTGAAGCATGATCCTCAGATCTCAGCCTCCTGAGTAGCTAGGATTACAGGCATGAGCTACTAGTGCCGGACAACTTTTTTTTTTAATTGAAGTTAACTTTTTTTTTGTCTGAGACTGGGACTTGAATTCAGTACCTGATGCTTCTGCTTATTGGCTAGTACTCTACCAACTGAGCTATGCCTCTAACCCTTGAATTCAACTTTATTTGAGACAGGTTTGAGATAGGTTTTCTAAGCCCTTTTGGGTGAATCTAGGATCTATACTCAGATGTATATACTTTATACTTACAGACTCTCACAATCTTGAGATTTCAAGGGTGCTTATGTGAGCTGCTTAGATCTATTTTTGCAAAAGTCTAATAAGTAAGGGGAGAAGGGACTGGGGTGTAGCTCAGTGGCAAAGCACTTGCCCAGCAAGTGCAGCGTCCTGGCTTCAGTTCCCATTACCAAAAAGGAAAGACAAAAAAAAAATAAAGAAATGAGAAGGGTGTTAAAAGAGGTTCCTTTAAGATTAAATATCTCTTCCCACTTGGGTGAGTTGTGATTTTCTTTGGATAAATAAGGATTTTCATTTCTATTAACCTGAAGACATAGCAAATCCAGAAACATTTGTCCTAAGATGAGAAATAGTAATTCACGAAACTTAAAGTGTTTTGATCACAGTAGCACCAGTTTGAGGTTTTGTCATTTTTGTAGGAGGAGGATGAAATGGATTCTGGCACGATGGTCCGAGCAGCAGGTGATGAGATGGGGACTGTCCGAGTAGCCAGCACCATGAGTGATGGAGCCAATACCATGATTGAGCACGATGACACATTGCCATCACAGCTGGGCACCATGGTGATCAACGCAGAGGATGAGGAAGAGGAAGGGACTATGAAAAGTAAGGCTCTGATGAAATAGACATACCCGTTCCAGAAAAGATGGTTTCTCATGGTCCATGAAGGCTGAGTCTTGAGTCTACCTTTACGTTCCTCAACCAAAGGAAGCTTTACATTGGAGGGCTGAGTGGGAGAAGGCTGGCAAGTGGAGTAAGAGGCAAGCAGGCTTTAACAAGAAAGGATTTTGCTTTTGAACCCAAACAACTATTTTCTCTGAACGTTGTCCTATATATTGTACATGTCTTCAGTTCATTTTCAAGATAGTTTGGTATCTAGCCAAGGCTTACCAGCACCCAAGTAGTCACAAGGATGGCTATACAAGTTTAAAATTCTTTTTTTTTTTTTTTAGTTGTGAAAATACTGTACAGAGGGGTTACAATTACATGGGCAAGATAATGAGTACATTTCTCATCAAGCATTGTAGCCTCCTCCTTTGTTTTCCCTTTCCATCCTCGCCCCCCCCATCCTCTCCCCGCCCCCCCCCCCAATCCCCCTCTCCCCCCACCACAAGTTTGAAATTCTATCAAGTCTCTTTAGTATCCATTTTGCGTCTTTCCTTTCTTGCTGAGATGGTGATCTCTGTCCACTAAAGTCACTGAACTCCTGGGCTCAAGTGACCCTCCTAATCCCAGCTGCTAGAGCTGGGATTGCAGGGCCCCATCACCATGCTCATTCTCCGCTTCTTTTCATTATCTGGCTGATCTTTTTTGCCTCATGCCTTGTGCCTAGCTTTCATCATAAGGTAACACTCTCCTCTCCTTTTCAGCTATTGACCTTCCCTTTATTTTGAGCATTACACACCAATTCTCAGAGGAAAGGAATTGGGGGATACAAAATGATAATAGTCTAGTTGTAAGGTACAATTTAGCTAAACATAGGTTTAAAGCATGAAGTCTTTCCTCTTTTTTGTTGTTAATCTTTTTTTTTAGCATTGCTAAGCATCTAACCCCAGGAGTTGTGTAGACTAGACAATTATTCTATCACTGAGCTACATCTCCCCCTCCTGCCTTTTTTGTTTGTTTGTTTGTTTTGTTTTATTTTGAAAAACAACAGTTCAGTATACCTTCCGCTTAACCAGGGATCAGCAAACTGTGGTCCTTGGCCAAATCTGGCCTGGTGCCTGCTATTGGTAATAGACTTTTATTGGAACATATGCATGGCCATTCATTTATGTGCTGTTGTCTATTGCTTTTTTGTGTGCTAAATAGGCAGAATTAAGTAGTTGTAAGAGGGACCATCTAGCCCACAAGGCCTAAAATAGTGGTTCTCTGGCTCCTGACAGACAGAAAGAGGTTGCTGTCTTAGTCATAGATCCTTTGTGATTTGTTTATTCAGTAAATTTTTCTTCAGTGCCTGCTGTTTCTGAAGGACTTTGCTAGACGCTGAGGACAATAGAGAATGAAGAAGCAGTCCTTTCCCTGAATGAACTGATTGTCTAGTCTAGGAAAAGACCACTAATTACAGTTCAGCATATGAAGTGAGTTCTAACAGGGGAGTAATCTGGGGGTGTTGTCAGAACAGAACTTAGACAGGCCTCACTGAAAAATGTCTAGAGGAAAAACGCAGCAAGATTGGCAGCATACAGAGTAGGCAGAGGTGCTCTAGCACAGAGAGCAGTGTAGAGAAGATGCTGGGAAAGAGCTGGAGGAGGCCAGGGAACTTCACTGTGGCAGGCATAGACAGAGGCAGGGATCTCAGGCTTTTCTCGTCTCCAGCTTCCCAGGCAAGGTCTGTATGTTTGTCAGCCTCTTATTTTCAAAGGGAAAAGGTTTTTTGTTTTTTTTTTCTTTTTGGGATCTAGGTTCATTATCTGGCTTCTGACTTAAATTTTATAGATGGTGAAGTAGTGGTAGCAATACTGGTAGATGCTTAAATTAGTAAGCCTTTTTTGGAATGTTTCAAGAGTTTGAAAAATTCAAACCTTTGAATCAGTAAGTTCTATCGCTAGGAATCTGGTCCAAGAAAATAATTGTATATATATTGAATACATACATACATCCATACACAGAGAAGTTATATTTAAGAATATTTCCAAGTACAGTACTTATAATTTAAAAAACTAGATTAATTATTTAGTAGCAGATGATTGGTCAGATTAATTTTGGTATATCTACAGAATGAAATACTATGCATAGGAAAACATTTAAAAAATCCTGTTTTTGAGGAAGTAGTTCAGTGAAAATTAATAGCATGATTACAGTTTTATAAATAAAAAAATATATATATATAATAAGTACTGAAAAGAGAAAAAAAGGAAAAAAAAAACCTGGAGGGAAAGAAAGCAAATATTAAAGTGTTTATCTCTGACTGCTGATGTTGTCTTGAATAGAATCTGAGAGAAGGTTGAAATCTCAACTGAAATCTAAAGGACAAGTGGAGATTACCAATTGTGCCTGTCTAGAAATTGCTCCCTTTTTTATTTCATTTATTTATTTATTTATTTATTTTATTGTGGAACACATGCAGAACAGAATAGCCTATTACCTGAATATTTATTTTGCTCTTTTAAAAGATTTGGTTTTACTGATTAGATTTAACATACTGATTTCTTTTAAGTGCACACCACATATTCTAAGAAGAATATGACTCATGACTTTACTAATAAAAGTTTAAGATTCCCCAATGCCTCTTTCTAGTTGTATTAATCATGAGTTTGGTGTATAATTTTTCCTGCTGTTTTGTGTCTGTATTTTTGCAACATTTCTATAGATTTACAAATAATACTGGATGCTGTTTTGTCTTCAGAAGATGTTGTTGTGTGGCGTATCTTTTAACAGCTTGCTGTAATGGAGCTTTTTTTGGATGACATTTCTGCACTTTCTCTGTAAGGGAACAGCTTCAGAGAGTGTGTTCCTTCTTCGTAGTCCCATGGCTAGTAGTGATGGAGTTAGATTATTCCTTCCTCATGCTCCAATGTCTAGTCAGTGGTAGAGACTGTACTATTGTTGTTCTGCCCAATGTCTGATTTGTTTTGGTTGCCTGTGCTTCCAGGCACTGAATTCATAATAGAAAACTTTGGGAAACTAATAGTAAAACTTGTGCTGTCTTCTGATTAGATTCTAGGGATGTCTTTTGTTTGTGCATGTGTTTTCAAGGTATTATTATTATTATACTCAATAGAATGGGAGTTAACACTATTAATAGTAATTCATGAGTAGACACAGTGTATACCAGTCACTGTGTTTAATCTTTTATAGACATTACACGTTATTTTAATCATCATAGCAATGCGGTGTGGTAAATATATATAATCAGTTGAAACTGAGTTACAGAGAGATTAGGTAGCTTGCTTCTGATTACATAATGTATAATAGAAAAGCCAAGATTTGAACCCAGATATGCCTGATTGCATAATTTGTACTCATTAAATTATGTTGCTTCAGCTGAGCTCATTTTGTTGATTGTCCACACTAAGGCTCATGATATGGTCTTAGCCTGTAGTGATCTGCCTCTCCTTGCTGGTTTCAGTAATTAGCTCCTCTACATGCTCTTAGGATTTCCAGAAGGAAATAATAGATGGTGTTCAAGGAGGACATGCCTCTGATAGATGATGATATTGTTATATTGTTATATATTGTTATGTGTATGTTTCACATACACATGCATACACACACACACACACACGTGCAGGCACACACACACACACACACACACAGAATTGCTTTATCAAGAACACTTCTTAAGAAAAATAAACAAATCTTGGTCCACGCTACTTACTTCTGTCCCTGATTTCTTGTGCTGGGAATTGAACTCAGGGCCTAATACATGTTAGCAAGCATTCAGATATGCTTTTTCTTTTTTTCCTTTTTGAATAAAATATCTAGGAAAACCAAGAACTGAGCAGCAAATTATCCTATTGGAAGTGATCCTGATAGGTTGTTAGTTGGGAATCACTGTTTTTTCTCTGGCCAGTAGAGGGAGCTCTGCAATAGGTTATGAGTTAAATTCTATCCCAATTCACAAAGGCCCTTTTTCTTGGTAAAGACCATTATTTATTTATCTTTAAATAAATTTTAAATAAGCATAACAGCACTAGATCACTGTCTTTATTTAGTTAGGATATTGGATGCCTCATACTTGTCAAAATTCAAGGAAGACTGATGTCAGCAAAACATCTCAACATAGTAACTTTTCCTTTCCCATATTTCTTAGTAGACCTTAACCAGAATTGGTGTTTTCTTTCTACAGCATGCTACTTTGAATATAGTTTTGGAGCTTTCATTAGCTTAAATAGCCCTAACCAAGAAATTTTTGTTTTGTGTTTTTGTTTTTGCCAGTCCTGGGGCTTGAACTCTGGGCTTAGACACTATCCCTGAGCCCCGTTATACTCAAGGCTATCACTCTACCACTTGAGCCACAGCACTACTTTCGTTTTTTCTGCTTATGTGGTACTGAGGAATCAAACCCAGAGCTTGATGCATACTAGGCAAACACTGTACCACTAAGCCACATTCCCAGCCCCCTAACCAAGAAATTTAGCAAAATAAAAAGTAAAAATAATAATTCTTGGGTAGAATTGATTTGGGGGAATGTTACTTTATGTGTAAAAATAAGGAAAACTTTATACCTTTTTTTTTTTTTTTTTGGCCTGCTGTATTTTCAGGGGAGTGCATGGCATTGTGCATGTTACCCTAACATTTAGCTATACCTTTAGATCTAATTTTACTTATTTGATTTGATTTTACCAGTACCAGGGTTTGAACTCAGGCCCTCACACTTGCTTTTCAGAGGAAGTGACAGGAGGAAGGATGAAAATAGTCAAGTACCCATTTACAAAGTCTTGCTATGCCATGGTTCTCTGTCTGTGAGGCTTAGTTACTATAATGCCATGATCCTTCCAGTCTTCCACATGTCTAAGCATGGCAGATCGGCTGTTTTTCCCTGATCCTTCCAGGCTTGTTAAGCTAATGGAGGCAAGAGGTAGATGACAAATACAAAGTTCTTTCCCCAGACTTGAGCCTTTCTAGTTAGAGTTTTGTGAACTGCAAGGAGTAAGTGATTT